AGAAGGGAATGGAAGATATTGTTGGAATAAAAGTAAGGCCACAGAATGGGAACAGAGTTGGAGGTCTAAGACAAAAAGAGAGAAGGCAAAGAGGCAAGAAAAAGGCTCTGAGCTTCCAGCCATTAGTAGTAGATGAAATTTCCTTTCGTAGTAGTGACATTAGGTACACACTGTGGAAGGATGAAGAGTGGTCAGCCGTGTAGTTACTGCATGTAAGGTGGCAGCAAAAGCTACAAGTCACTGAAGTAAAGTTCTTTGACTTCTTAAGGCTCCTGTTTTAGTTAAGGACATAGACAGATAATTGCATTTTATGGCATTGCATCACAAGCAGTACATGATTATTCTGGGAAGAAACAGTAAGAATATAGAGAAAGGAGAAATATTTTCAGCTTCTTGGAATTTGAAATAGATTAGTGGAAAGCATTCTAGCCAGAGGAATGGCTGGAGTCTAAGTCCCGACAGTTTACTTATCATTTCTAGAAAAGAAATAACTGCTAACTTACTTTGATATTTGAAAAGTATATATTTCATTTAACAAACTTTTTCAAAATGTTCAGGACCTGAACCTAGACCCAATCTTAGAGGAGAGTCAAGAACATTCAGAGTGTTTTTGGATCCAAACCAGTATCAACAAGATATGACCAATACTATACAAAATGGGGCAGAAGATGTGTATGAAACCTTCAATGTAATCATGAGGAGGAAACCAAAGGAGAATAACTTTAAGGTAATTGGGGGCTATAGAATTAAAACTACTTTGAACAACTTTTAACATATAAATGCTTAGATAACTAGGTTAAAAATGATTTGTGAAGAAAACAGTGATCACTTCTTTTTGATTCTAAACAATCCTCTTAAATTCTTAACATAGATTAAATATAAAAACTTAAGGAAATTCATTCGCTAAATCTGGTGGGGGGTTTTTTGGATGAATTTAGACACTTAAAATATAAATTAATCCAGGTGTTGTTTTAAAGGTTAGCCTCCTTCCTTGCTTTTTGTATATTAGATACTCAGTTTACGCCCCCATTGTGAGGTGAGGAAAACTGCTTGTTTATCTGTTTACCAGGACTTCTTATTTGAATCAAAAGTAGGTGTACTTCCATATCTCTTTAAGAATACCGATGTGGAACCTCAGAGCTCTGAATTACTCTGATGTAATGTATTTATACTTTACTCATTAGTGGGAAAAGGGAAGTTTGAGGGCGAGAGAGTTTTACTTTTATAATAACTTTGTGGAGAAAAGGACTTTTAGTAAAGGGTTTTACTTCTTAAATGAACTTTTAGTAAAGGGTTTTACTTCTGAAATTATTATGTGAAACTGTATTATAAAACTTAAACATTGAGCAATTCTAGCATTGGATAACACTGGCTTTTGCACAAGTGCCTTTCTCTCTCTCCCAAACACAGTGCTGCTTCAGCATTATCACTTTATTACCTTTTTTATCTATTGTTGTGATTAAAAAGAGAAAGCTTCACATGCAAAGGAATTTATTCCCCATCTCACCCTGTTGTTGAAGACAGAACAATGGAAGTATCCTTGGTTTCTTTTGTCTCACACGCCACATCCAGTTCTCCAGTCAGCCTGATTGGCTCACTGCCTCTGCTGATGCCAAGTCCAAGACACCCTCATCTCTCACATGCCTGCTGCCATGCTTGGCTGCCCCTCCACATAGCGACTGAATGTCAGTTATGCCTGCATACCTGTTCAGCACTCTTTAAAGGTTTCTCCTTACAGTAGAAAGTTGTTACCATAACCCAAGGGGCCCCTTCGTTACCTGTCTTCTGGCTACCTCTCCAGCATCATTTTCTAACACTTTTCCCTTGCTCACTCCCTGCCAGTCGCACTGACCTTTTTGCTGTTCTTTAATAAGCCACGCCTTTGCACATAGGGTTGCCTCCACCTAGACAGTCTCCCTCCAGAGGAATGAATAGTCTAGCTTTCTGATTTCCATAGATGATTTTGTTGAAATAATGACTGGAAAGTCCAAGAATTTGCCTTAGTATTTAGTAATTTTGACAGTGTATCTTTTAACTATATAATGACCTTTTATTGTAGTCCTGATTCTTTCATCCTGAAATTTGAAATTTCATTTTAATCATTTTCACTTTATTTTTATGTCTTATTTTTAACAATGCTAAGTTTAATATTTCCATGTATCACATTGTGTGTTCACTACCCAGAGTCAGTTCTCCTTCTATCACCATATATTTGACCCCCTTTACCCTCTTCTACCATACCCCACCATACTCCCTGGTAACCACTGTCCATGAGTTTTTGTTTCTTTGTTTGTCTTGTTCCTTTGTTGCTTTCAGAATTGTGCACTTGAACACTTGAAACCTATGTAATTTTACTAACCATTGTCACCCCAGTAAATTTTAATTCAGAAAAATTTAATATTTTTAAATTGTGACGTGTTTCACAATTAAGGCATACATTAATGTGCTTCTGATTGTGTGTGTTCTCAGTATTGAGGAACTATGGAATATAAAGGGGAGAAAACTCCAGTAGTTTCTAAGAGGAAGCATTTTTTTAAGGGTTTGTTCTATAATGTTTTTTTGCTGTGGTGCAGACCTGATTGGATTTTCATGCTACTCAACAGAAGTCAAGTGGTAAAACTCATTTATGACATTCTGTCTAAATGAACTCCTAATGGATAAACTGTTCTTGCTAAGTTTGGTCTTTTGTTTAACTCAGCGTATGGTGTCAGCTGAAAATATAGCTGTTGATTCAGTCTAGCCAAGCACCTGTCAGCAGAAAATAACTTCTTGCCCTGAAACACTCGGGAATTCTGGGTTAGCGCGGCCAGCTCTGCATTCCACTGAACTGCAAATGTTTGAGATGTCTTCGTGATGAATCCTTTTCTGTCCTTTTACTGACAGGCTGTGCTGGAGACCATTCGGAACCTGATGAATACTGACTGTGTGGTACCTGACTGGCTGCATGACATCATTCTAGGCTATGGGGATCCAAGTAGTGCACATTATTCAAAAATGCCCAATCAGATCGCCACCCTGGATTTCAATGACACGTTTCTCTCCATTGAGCATTTAAAAACTAGCTTTCCTGGTCATAATGTTAAAGTAACTGTGGATGAGCCAGCCCTCCAGATACCCCCTTTCAGGTAAAGTCAGAGCAGGAGCTACTCCTTTAGGCTGTCTGTAGTCAGTCTGAGTTAGGCTGTCAGGACTGCAGCTAAAGGAAGTTTTGAGTATCATTCCTGGATTTTGTCCGGGCAGTCTTTACGTTCACCATGTAATCACTGGATAAAATGATTTTATTTGATTCTGTTTCTAATTCTTTGTGTAGTAGCTACTTTAAGACCACAATAAAAGTAGCCTCATGCCTTTTAAGAGATTGGTGAGTGCTTGTTGTCTGAAGACAACAAATGCTATAAATATATTTATAGCATTCAACTGAAGAAATGCTAGTCTGATATATTTCCTAATTAATAGATTAGAGCCATGTGATTTTGAACTTTTTTGTTTTTAGGGAAAAAGTATCATAACCTTGCTTGCTTTCACAACTTTTAAATATTTACAGTATAGTTGTATTTAATGTTAAAAGAGCTTTGGTTTTAAAACTTGAGTAGAACTAGAACAAAGTCCCTGAAGCGCTGACTGCTGTTCCCTGAATTCCATCGTAAGGATTAGCGGCAAAGCACTCAGTAACCTACGGGTGGTAGTGAGTGCTTACTTTCTTATTTGGAAATTAGCACATACAGCTTTTAACTGTTAAGTCTAAATATAATAATCTACATATTAAAAACATGTACCCTTAAACACACAAACCTAGTCTTTTTCCATGTTTTCCTAATCCTATTAATGGCAAAAATCATTCTTCTAGTCAGCACAACTTGAAATTTCAGCATTATTTTTGAATCTTTCTACTCCTATAACATAACTCCTGCTATGTTTTGTAGATTCTGCCTTAAGGATAATTTCTTTATATGTCATCCCTGACTGCTGCCTCGCTAGCCCTCAACACCTTCAGTCTTTATGGTGGCAGTGTCTTTCCTGTCTGTGTTCCCTCCCTGAGCCCATTACATGCTTTACTGTGATCATCATCCCACTCTCTGGTTAAAAATCTAATTTTTCCTGTCGCTTATCAAAATAAGGGCTGACATCTTAGCCTCTTTAGTTCTTAACATTGTGTGTGTGTGTGGGGGGGGGGACAGTATATTATTTATCCTTTCAGAATAGGAGGAAAGACTGGAAAAAGTGCACATAGAGAAGTAATTTTTTAGTTTAATTTTAAAGTAGTCATTGACTTCCCAGGGTACCCATGGGGAGTTGCCTCTTGAGGTATCCCTGACCCTAGGCTAAGAACTTGTGCCTTAAAGGCCTGATATTCCAAAGGTGTCGTAACAAGACTCCAGCCTTTTTCTCTAGCCTAATTGTCTATACTGTATCCTACTTTCCAGCAAAACTGGCTACTTGTACTTGAGTTTCTCCTGTTACTTCTTTCTTCCTGGAATGTCTTCCATCCCATGTTTGTATGTCTGAATTCTTTGAAATTCATTTTATTAATAGATGCCACCTCTCCCGATTAAATGAAGGACATTGTGTAAAGCACTTTACAGTACATGTGACACAAGGATATAAATCCTTCTTATTTGATACTCCGTTATTCAGATGACCATTTTTAATCTGAACACCTTTAACACACATCTTAGTGCTTTTAAATCTTCTTTTTTCAGAATTTATGTACAGATAGTGAGTTATTTTAGGCCATAGATGTTTCTTACTGATCTGATCATTCTCTGTGCAATGTCATGCACAAGATAGGCACTTGGTAAATCATTCTTAATTGGAAAACTGAATGAAGGTTTTGATCTTGTAGGATAACTTTTCCAGCAAGAAGTGGAAAAGGGAAGAAAAGGAAAGATGCAGATGAGGAAGATGAAGACACTGAAGAGGCAAAGATCTTAATTGTTGAACCTCATGTTATTCCTAATAGGGGTCCTTATCCCTACAGCCAACCCAAACGGTAATTTTACTATCGATGCTAATTGTAATAATGAATACTTTGCTATTTTGAATAGATGGGTAATATTTTTAAATTTTGTGATTCTTTAAAAATCCCAGGAAACTCCTGTCACTACAGCCTCTTTCCTTCTGTCAGTTGGCTGAGTAGCTCAGACATGTTTGGCCATTCCATAGTCATATTTCAAAAAGAAACATTTCCAGGTACTATGAGAAAAATATTAGACGGCTGCCTTAATTTGGGCACAGTGTTCTTCTTACTTCATGACCATATGTTACATATAGCAGCTATGCTTATGCATGTGTGCCATAGCTAATCAAGTGGCATTATATTTGGTGTTTGATTGGGAACTAGAACAGGACACTCCGAAATGAGGTCTGGGATGGGCTGAATGTTTTAAAAAGTGACTGTAGTCTTTTCTTTCCACAAGGCTCAATTTTAATTGGTCTATGGAAGGGAGTGTCAGAGTCATTCAGAGAGGTTGGTTCAGTCCTATAAGATGTGAAAGTTCTGGAGAGCTGATGTACAGCATTGTGCTTATAGTAAACAACACTGTAATGTACATTTACATTTTGTTAAGAGGGTAGATTTCATTGTATATATTTCTTACCAAACACACACACAACACTCACTCACACACACTCGGTAGCGGGAGAGAAGAAATTGGGAGAACAGGACAAATGCAGAGCAGATGTTTGGACCTCTGGTCATTGTTGTGTAAATTTTTACTAAATGTCATTCATCTGTATTTTCAACCAACTTTTTATCTACTCTTATTTGCAGTAATACAATTCAGTTCACTCATACACAGATAGAGGCCATCCGTGCTGGAATGCAGCCTGGGCTAACTATGGTAAGAGAATTATTTTATAAATGTTTTATGTGGATTCAGAGTAGGAGTGAGTATTAAATTTTGTATATGGATGTGGAGCTCTTGCTATTCGTTTCAGTGTTCGTAAATAAAGTTTTATTAGAATACAGCTATGCTCATTTGTTTATGTATTGCTTACGACTGCTTTTATGCTGTATCAGCAGAGTTTAATTATTTGCAATAGAGATTGTATGGATCACAAGCCTAAAATGTTTACTAGCTGACCCTTTACAGAAAATGTCTGCTGACAGTTGATTTAGAAGTATGTTTAATTTTCAAGTTTTTGGAGATTTTGCTGTTATTTTTCAGTAAATGATTTCTGGTCTGAGCCCATTATGGTCAGAGAACATACTTTATATGATTTCAGTTTCTTCTTTTAAATTTGTTAAGGTTTATTTTATGGCTCAGGATATGATCTATCTTGGGTGAATATTCCATGTGCATTTGAAAAGAATGTGCATTCTCTTGTTTTGGAGTGGAGGAGTGTCTTATATATGAGGTGTGATAAAAAAAAATATGGTGAATGTTTAAAAAAAACTTTAATACAGTAAAAGATACGTTGCCATTAATCCCCCTCAAAATACTCCTCCTCACTTTGAACACACTTCTGTCATTCGTGCCACTTTCTGAAGCAGTTCTGGAAATTCTCTTTCATGAGTGTCTTTTCTTCATCCTCCATCACAACAACAATCCGTGTCACACATTGCTCCTGGTACGGCAATTTCTATCATATAAAAACATTGTGGTGTGTCCTCATCCAGCTTATTCACTGACTCTGGCACCGTGCATCTTCTGGCTCTTCCCCAAAGTCAAAATAACCATGAAAGGTAAAGGTTTTGAATCAATTGAGGACATCGAGGCAGCCATGACAGCACAACTAAAGACACTCACAAAAAAGGACTTCCACAACTGCTTTAGAAAGTGGCAAGAACGATGTGATAAGTGTGTTTGAAGTGAGGGGGAGTACTTTGAGGGGGATTAATGGCAATGTGGCTTTCACTATAATTCATTTTTTTATTTAAACATTCACCATATTTTTCTATCACACCTCATATGTTAATTATATTCATTTGGTTGATGGTATTGTTCAGTACTTCTCTATCCTTGTTGATATACAACCTAATATTTCTGTTGACTACTGAGAAGGGAATATTAAAGTCTCCAACTATAATTATGTATTTCAGTTCTGTCAATTTTTATTTTACATATTTTAAAGATTTGTGGATATGTACATACACATTCAGGGTTGTTATATCTTCCTGGTGAATTGATGCTTTTATCATTCTGTAATGTCTGACTAGTAATTTTCTTTGCCGCAAAGTCTATTTTACAACTGCTGTGGTGTTTACATGATATATCTTTGCCTATCATTTTACTTCTAAATGACCTATTATATTTGAAATGAGTTTCTTGTAGGCACTATATAGTTGGGGCATGTCAGAATAAAAGACTATTCTGACAGTCTTTTAATTGGTGTGTTTAGACCATTTACATTTAATATATTTATTGATGTGTTTGGATTTAGGTCTACCATTTTATTATTTGTTTTATGTTTATTCACTTTGTTTTGTGTTCCTGTTGCTCCTTTCCTGCCTTGGAGTTATTGGGATAGTTCTTCTTAGTGTCATTTTTATTGACCTATTTTGTTCTTTTTTTTGTTTTAGATTTTTATTGGGGAATTGGGGGAGGGGAACAGCATTGGGGAATCGGGGG